TGATAACTCTTCAGGGAGTTCTGGAAGGTAAACATGACAAAGCCATTGAGGAGTCCCTGGATCAACACCAGATTTCTAAAGACGGATGGTGGTCATCACTTTACAAAATGGTTGAAGGTATGTGAAGAAAATTGATTTAGTTTCATCATATCCACCAATAATGACCCCGCCATCCGACACAAGGGATGCCTATATATCATCTTGTGTTTGTTTTTTATCTCATTTACAACATTTTCCATCTCTCCCCTTTCAGGTCTTGCTGTCATGAGCAGACTGGCTCGGAACAGGCTCCACAACTCGGAATATGGTTTTGAAGACAGATCAATTGACTGGGACCGAGCAGAAATGTAGGCTGCAATACTATCTGTCCAGTTTATATTGTCACGAGTGGTAATCACGAAAAATTACTCTACTTTTTGTAGTAGTTACTCTTATCAGCAAGCTTTGGATCCTCAAATAGATCGTCATTAAATTGGGTAACATGTGCATGGTTCAAGTGAAGAGTTGCCATAATAATTTCAACTCCTTGTCAAAAAAAATTGCAGAAGTTTGAATATCTGTAATTACTTGGAATGTTAGGGTCACATAATTTCATAGATTTTGTTACTTAAAATACTAATTTTATTTTGTTTGACGGTTTAAGCAATTGTTATTGGATAATTAATAAAATAATTAATATTTATTATTTGACGTATTTTTTTATAGTTTAGATCATATATAAAGATTATTTGACGGGAAAAGGTTTTTTTTTTCTCATCAAATAATTAATATTTTATAGTTTAGGTTAAAATCATCTATGCATCGATATTTTTAAATATCATAACTTATTAGTTAAAAAAATATCAAAATATGTGTAATCTTAATAATTTAATGAGTAATCATATTCACACGTATCTTAAACATAGAAACTTATTGACTTTATTTATGCTCTTCTACAGATGCATTTCTCCCTTACAACAGAAGCACATTCAAGCTTGCAGGCTATCTCGAACGGTTAAACAAATCAATCATGTAGTTCATAACAGATTGGCGTTTTCACCCTGAATGCATGCATTAACTCAGATCAACTCTGTAGGGTGTTAAACCATGTTGACCATCCGAACAATTATTGAAGTCTTATCCTATGTTGTCCGCGTTCCACTGCCAACCAAAAATTTGTGGTCCAAACAATTCA